CACTCAATCTCCCTGTGTATGCCACACGACCCCTCCCCAGGCTTCCAAGGTTTTCCTGGGGAAGGCGAAAATGACCTCTCCCAGCCACCCGGAGGTCCTCTGGAAGCCGGAAATGGGTTGTTTCCAAACTTCCAGTTGGCCCGTTGGGATTGTTTTTCGCCCTCCCCAGCTTCCGGAGGCTTTTCTAAAGCCGGGGGAGGGTGAAAACAGCCTTCCCTGGCCCTCTGGAAATGGGAAAAATCAGCTGACCAGCACGCGCATGTATGCTGAAGCTGACAGCTGGCATGCCACCCAATATGGCTCCGCGTGTCACAGGTTCACCATCATGGCTATAGGATTTTATAGTGGTCTCCCCATCCCAACATTAACTGGATCTGATTCTGTTTAGCTTTCTGAGATAAGTGCAGAGTAAAGGAACAGAACAGACAACGTGAAAAAGTCCACCTAACACAGGGGTCAGCAACCTTAAACACTCAAAGTGTCATTTGGAACCATTTTGCACAGAAAGAAAACACTGGGAGCCACAAAACCCTTCCCGGGCCTGACCTATTTCCTGAGCGCCCACAAAACTAGCATACGTATTTGAATTAAAGTTTCTGTTTTCTTCTGAAACTTTTCTTGGATTTATCCATGGTTGGCCTACTGAGAATCAAAAAACTCAATAAATTATGTGCTGGCGGATGTTGCACATTGGTGGTTGTGAGACATATTTTGAGCAACAGGAAGTCATAGCAGAGGGATGAAAGAGCCACATGCGGCTCCAGAAGCACAGGTTGCTGACTCCTGACCTAACACAATGACTAGCATTAAACCTTAGAGCTATATTACACTTTTGCTTTGTTCAATGTAATAAAAGCAATTAAAGATGCAAAATGACCTCAAATTTTAGTATCAGTGGAATACAATGAAGATATTACAGATCTCTGAAATTACTTTTCTTGAACCAATAATACAGATATATCATCAGGTACTTGTTTATGAAATATCACCCTTTTGTTCACATGTAAGACAGCAAAAGAACAGTTTCATTGCAAACCAGATTCACTCGCCCTTATACATCTGGTAAACCTTGGATTTCTTTTTGGTGGGGGGGTAGGGGGGAGAAAGCGATGTAACTTCTGATTAACCAAAGCACATTTATTACCTATTAAAATGCCAATAAATGTTGCAACTTGTCTTCGATATTTTAACTGGTCAACTATATCCTCTTTTGAATAATACATTCTATAGGTCACTTGAGTCACTTGTACTTTTGAATTTAAACATGAATACTTTTGCTACGGTTTAATGTTCAGTATTTTTGTGGTCAAGTAAGTGCAGAAAAGTAGTAAGTGCATAAGCTACTACAATAGTCACTCCACATTATTATTACCAGAAGTAGTTGGAATCTCTCTCTCTCTCTCTCTCTCCCTCCCTCACACGCCAGAGCCTGGAATCTACCAGACTCACATAAGTAAGCTATTAAGATACATACAGGGAGGCAATTCCAGCAGAGAACTGGATTTAAATTAAAATGAACCCAAACCCATCCTTGAGCACAGTATATAGATTCTTGAGCGAAATTCGTTCCTTGAAAAACCTTCACACCGCTGGTGTTCTTTGCTCATTGGATGGTTCGTGTCAATAGACTAGAAATTCGGCCCTTGAAAGATGCGGGGATTTTTGTGGGTGGTGGTGGTGGAGGAGGAGGAGGAATATGCCTTCCTCGTAGACTCGCAGGGAGGCCAGGGTTTCAGTAGATAGCTCAGCCTCCCCGACGAGGGAGAAACGACGCGTTTGCCAGGAGGCGGGAGATGCTAGCGCAGGTAGTCCTTTTGTGCAGGGAAGAGCAACGGGGCTTAGGAAGGCGAAGAGAGCCCCTTTTGTTTGAGGCGTGCTCCCGGCGCCCGTCTCCCCCACCCCTCTCGGGGTTTTGGCTTACAGCCCTCCTTCTCCCACTCCGAGACGAGGAAACCAATCCTCGGCTCTGCGCGCAACAGCCCGGGAAGAAGATGCCAGCAGCCTCCCAGCAGCCCCTCTGTTTGACTCCGAACTGGCTCTGCTGCACCCGTCCAGGCGGGGACGGCGAGGGGGGAGGAGGAGGAGGAGGGCCTTGGCTCTGATTAATTACCTTAGGCATTCGGGGGTGGAGCTTCCCTCAGCCATCTGGCTGAGATATGGGAGGGAGCTGCGGAGAAGGCAGGCGGGCGGGGGAAGAGACGGAGAGAGGAAGAGAAAAGAAAGGAAGAAACACGAGCGAAGGGAAGGCAGGAGAGAAATCGCGAATCCAGGGGAACTCCCCCCTCCCTCTCTCGCTTTGCCACTCGGAGACGGGGCGAGGAGCAAAGAGGCGCGGAGGTTTTGCCACAGCCCCACCTGGCGGAAGGGATTTTCTTCCCCTCTCCTCCACACCCTCCCGCTTTGGTTTATGGAGAAAAAGAAAATGGTCACTCAGGTAAGGCTCGTGCGTGGCTGCGCTCCTCTTGCCATTTCCCCGCGCGGTCCTGGGCATCCGGCTCGGGCGTGTGCGCCTGGCTTTCTGCCTCCCGGAGAAAGAGAGCCGCGGCGAGGAGGCCACTCTGCCGCTCCTCAATGGGAGGAGGAGAGGGCTTCGAGCGTCCTTTGCCTGAGCTTGCAGGGGGAATAGCTGTAGGTGGAGCGTGGATGCGCAGCCATCCCTTCTCGCTCTGCTCCATAGATTCCCGTTTCCTGTGCTGTGCAGCTGCAGCTCAGGAAAGACCCTGCGGGGATTTGTCCACCTCTTTGTCTTCATGTGGAGGCAGGCGGGCGGGCGGAACTGCAGAGGTAGGGGAAGGCTATAGCAGTTTTGCCTTGCCACCAAATGATGTTGGCACAAGGGGTTTCCTTCTCCTTGTGCGACCCTTCCGGAGAACCGATTCGTTCCGATCCAACTGATCCTCATGCCCGCATTCCTTTCCTTCCTAAAACGAATCCTCCTAGATTCTGGAGGATTGTAAATTGTCCCTTCTGGCTGCTTTGCGGTTTCCTTAGAGAAAGAGATAATGAGATGGAATTCGATAATGTCATATCCGATGGTGGTAAATGATGTGAGGATCCTTGCAGATCCTGGTATTCTACCCAGGCTTCTCTGCATACCACAGCCTCTGGAGGGGCTTCCATGCAGATTTAGCTGAATCTGCATTTCAATTACTTTCTTGTTACAAAGGTAATTCCCCCCCTCCCCATTTTTACAGGTGCCTTGTCTGTGCATGAATGCCCATTGAGCACAGGGCACATTGCAACTATACATAGACACATGAAAGCAGCTGCTTATCATTTAACAGAGAAGCAGCACTTGGGCTGAATGCAAGGGATGATTTCTCAAGGAGCTTACCCACAACTGAGAAACAGTTATTTTTCCCTGACTTGCTTTTCTAAGAATTTTTTGAATTTTTTTGTGTCTTTTATTTTTTTTAAAAAATATATGAAAACCTCATAGTTGACATGGAGGGGGAGGGAAGTCAGTTAAATAGACAAGGTCAGGAAACAATATCATTACAGCCAGGTATCCTTTACTGTTAGTAGTTATATAATGGTCTGCAATGCCATACATGGATAGATATCTCTTAAAAGAGAGAAAGGATGTATTTTTAAGGGGGGAAATCATGGGGATTTTTTTGTCATTTAATTAAAATTTCTATCATCTGACATAATTTTTACATTGTTGCACAAGTGTAATTTTTAGTGGTCAGAGGCATCATATACTCCTCTCTTAAGGGACAAGATGAATGTCCTAGGAGATGATTGTTATAAGTAGTGGCAGCAGTTTGACTTCCTTAGTCAGCAGACTTGCAGTGAATTCAGTGGCTCAGAGGCAGGGAGGTCTCTATCCATTAATGCAAATTGCAGATTTCCCTCCTCTGCTGATCACATTCATTATTTATATATTTCCTTTTTATCTTGGATGTGTGTCTTGAGACTGCTGGGGCTTCTTTATGCCATCTAAATGTGAAAGCTTTAAAAGTAATTTTGTAAGCAATTTTTTTTTCTCCTTTTAACGTATTTTCTGTAATCATGAGTAACCTTTCTATACGCTTCTGTCCCATTATATGGTATACGGTATTGTCCAAAGTTGCTTTCCTATATATCAATTTAATAACATGGTACAAACTGATAGTTCATAGATGATCTAGCTAAGAAACGCCCACCACATAAAGATGGCATGTTTGAGAGAAAGTGAAGATTCTTGAACTTCAAATAAAAAAGGAAAAGGCTATTTGCTTATTAAGGAAGGTTGGAGGAGTAAATAGATTACTGTATCGAAAATGAAGGAAGTTTTTGCATGACTCTCAAAAGGAAAGAGTTGACATTATTCAAAAATGATTAACTGACTGTGACCTTCATGTGTGGTTTCTAATATATGTATTGAATATGTATGTCATTTTTATATTTGACACAGAAAATGTAACATATATAAGAATGATTTGAAATATTACATTAGGAAATTAGAATTTTGATTGTGTAAGTTAATATGACTACAGTTGACACAAGAATTAGGAAGTTCCAGTTTATCCTTAATGTTCCTATTTCTCTGTGGGGGTCTTTTATCAAAATTCACTCATTTTTCTACTTTGGATTTGAGCATTCTGATCAAAATTGCAAGTCATGTGACAATAAAATTTTGTACTGGATTTATAACAGGTGACCATTTAGGGTCAGCACTTTAGCATTGTTAAGATTTTCTTCTTTCAGAGCATGTATAAGTGGACAAACAATTTAACAACAGCAGTTAAACTGATCAGTGGAAGTCTG